GCTACTTATGTGGAAACGGGGTCAGCAGCACATTTGAGAACCTGATTCTAAAACCTCCCCTCTGGTTGAATCTTCCCAGAGAGACTCTGCTGGATGCTGGCCCAATCAGCTCAGGATATGGAGCGCTACAAGTGCCCACAGTTTGCTTTCCTTGATGATGCAAAGGTAGCTAATCCTCATTGAACAGGATGTTAAATGAGGATTCGTCCTCATCACTAGAATCATTTTACATTCATCGTCTTTGCTGCAAAGTTTGTTTTGGTGCATTTGTGTTCACATTTCATCCATAGTCACGCCGTGCAAGCTGCTCTCTTACTGAGCAGTGTTTTGGTAACTTATCATCTCCAAAGGTTAGGGTATTTTTTCAGGAGAGTGTCATAACAAATCTCACTCTAGTTCCTGCAACTTGTCTCCATCGTTTGTCTTAATCTCTGACATTCACGCCTGAATTTAGTTAACATTCTAACGAAGGATAACACTCTGAACTTGGATTTTCAGGCATGTCAGTGCCCCGAGTTTACATGTCCTTATTCTCACCTTTCTACATAAACCGAACCGTAAAGCAAACGTTTGAACATTTTATTTAATCACAGCAAATATGCCTGCCGTGTCCACACTTTCTGGTGAGCCGTGATGTTGACAAAAAGCACAAGTTGCAGGTGGCAACACCAGCCAGCACATTCAAGGACCAGCAACAATACTGCAGCCAAAGGAAGTGTGGGTTGTATCTGGTACATTTAGATAGATCCAAGTACTTGTACTTTACTTCAGTATTTCTATGTGATGCTGAGGTAAATATTGTAATTTTTCTCTTCATTTGCTGACAGCTTTAGTTACTTAAACACATGTTAATATACAGCATCTCCAAGTTTGGGATGAGCTGAGAAATGAAGTGTTTCTTTGTGTTGAGAAAATACTCATATTTCTTAAGTTGCAGTAGATGTTGAAAAGCATCCTGCAGCATTTGGAAATGCCTTATCAATAAACTGAAACAGGGCTATTTTTCTGATGAAAAGTAGATTGTTCGGACATATGAGTGAGGACAGCCACAGAGCTACAAACTAAGGATGATATGATAGAATATGGTGTAATGCTAGATTATACTACAACAGTATAGGACTACAGCAGTAAAATGAAACATACACATTACTGCAGTAGTACCATTAATCCAAAAATATTATATATTATCATATATTACACCAAATAGACAGGTATGGGAGGACATGTCAGTAGCATTTAGTAAGCAAACCCGATGACTAACGCTACAGTGAGTAATCTGCATAGTGAGTTTTGAACGTAGTGATTGTGTCAGACTGTCTATAGTGGTGTTATGGTTCCAGCACTAGCCTTAAGCAAAGATTAACATGACGTTCAAAGAGTCAGGAGATGGACACAGTCCTGACAAAGAAGTGTCATGATACAGGGCTTTGATGTCCTGAAAGAGGAACAGGAACACAGCAGCATATCTGCGGCTCCTGTCATCTCATATCTGCTCAGTAACCACCACACTGAGAGCTGAGCCGACACTCTCTGCTTTCACCGAGAAGCTCCACAACCTCCCCGCTATCAGGGAGCAAAAGTGAAGCCCTGTGATTGCAACGTCATCGCACAGCAAGGTAATCTACCCGTGTTGCATCACTACTCAGCATTCACAGGGAAAATGGCCTCTCCTCTGAGAATGATGCCGGATTTTCCCACAGAAACCCTTTCTATCCAGTGATCACATGTCAATATCTCAAAGTTTGTCATGAACTGAGAGATGGAGTGTCCCTTAATGTGTTGAGAAGATTCCCATAATACCCTACAGTATATATAGGAGTACAGCAGTGAAATGGAACATACACAGGTAAGGAGAGGTAATTAACCCAAACGGCCATATATTATAGTAAAACAGTGACAGGGAACCAGGACTTGTACTGAAGTATTTTCAGACTGTGGTATTTCTACTTTGACTTAATTAAGTACACTACAGATGATAGATGTCAGCGTGCATGTCCAACAGAGTTAAACGCCGGTTTCTCCCACAGAGCCGTGAATGACAAAGTCTCTGAGAGAGATTCTGCTTGCTCTCACATTCTCCTCCTCTCTCAAACAGCTGACAGACTTGCACAGTGGGTTTTTCGGTGGCAGAAAGCCAATCGTGCCTCACTCGTTCTGTGAGATGAGTTAAGCCGTGAGTTACTTTCAGGGAGGGGGGGAGAATCCCTCCCTCTTATCTCTTTGTAAGGGAGAGACGTCAAAGTCCCTTCCAGAAGATGTATATAATTTCCAATGGGTTAGAAACACTTTGTACTATTGTCGTAAATACTGCCCAATATTAAGCAATCTGTCATTTAATCAATGCACCAAGAAATGGATCTGCAACCAATTTTGTAATTGATTTATCATTTCAGTTATTTTTCAAGCTAAATAGTTAGGTTCTAAAATGTGTGGATCTTTGCTTTTCATTATTATATATGATGAGAAATGTAATATATGTTGTTTTTGAACTGTTGTGAGGACATAGCAATCAATATGAACACTTTTTGGCTGTAGGAGAATATAATGCGTAGGGCTGCAACTAGTTTTTCCAAATGTATCAATTAATCATTTAGTCCATAAAGTGTCCAAGTCGTTGTCTTTAAATGTGTTGATTTCTTAGTCTAAACCCCCAAACTCTTCACTTAGTTATATAAAACAGAGAAAAGCAGATCATCTCCACATTTCAGAGGCTGAACACAGCCTCTTCTGCCATCAGGGCGTTCGTTTTTACTTTTAATCGACTATTCATATAGTTGCAGATAGTTTCTGTCGGTAGAAATAATCCTTGGAGATTTAACATCAGCGTTTCACTTTTTTCAAATATTTACAAGGCAAATAAATGAGAAAATGATCTTAAATGTGGTCAATAAGGAACATAAATAATCATTATTTGCACCCCTTAGTTTCATGAAGATAAGAAATGTCTAGCTCGGATTGTCTCTTCGCAAAATTACAAAACATGGCATGTCCCAATGCTTCACACACCTTGTGCTGCCAATACAGATTCCTCAGTTGATAAGTCACAACTCCCACTAAGAAAACAGTAATGACTCAACAATTATACCCAATAAGAGCGACGTAATGTGATTACTTTCCAATCACACGCAGGAAGTCTCAGTGAAAAGGGAGTGCTGCCTCCGAGTGTAATCCATCAAGCAGCTATCTTTGTAGAGTCTGCATGTGGAAGGCGATCTGATGCCCGGAGTGGAAACGTCTCGTTGTGCTAATGAGTAAACTACATTATGAGCTATGCTATCGTTATTTTATAAGAGGAACTGGGTCACATTATCACACCTCAGAACTATTCAGAGTGTTAAAACAGTGAGTCACAGACGGTGTATATCTTTCAGGGAAATCAACCTGCCGCATGACATAGTGCTGAGCAGCTGTCTTTTTTACACCGTACGTTTGGACTGTAGCTGCGTTGTGACTCATTTTATACAAACGTGCCAAGTCACTACACTGGACTGCGAATAGATACACCTCCTTTAATGCCAGCCTATATTAACTACGATGATTTATCAGACCTAAGTGGCCAGAAATCCTTCCTAATAGCTTCCTAAAAAACAAATGTAGGTGGTAATGTGAGGAGTGTGTCACTTGCTTTCACTGAAAACTTAACTTATATATCATATCATTTGTGTCAACTCTACCAGAACAATTGTATGAACCTGACTACCTTAATATATCAGGATAACTTTTTAACTGGACTTATCTTTACTCCATCACTATTCTGTTTGACATATTACTGCACCCTATTTACAACCATGCTATCACTCAATAACCACATTTATCCGTTTTGTTGTGGTTGTATTTATCTGACAGTTGACATACATTGTTTTAGAAAAGGATTTTAAAGTGTTAACTGAGCTTATTTCCATCATTGTATTATTTTTGTTTTGCTCAGTAACCTGAAAATGAATAGGGTGCAAAGAGCAAGGTGGTTATTATTGTGTTTGACAACAGAATATTGATTGAGTAAAGATAAATCCAGTTTAAAGGTAATCCTGATATATAAAAGGTGATCAGGTGTGTTTTGGTAGACCTGATGAAAAAGGATATTAAAAAAATGAATCCAGCTGCAGTCGAGAAATTAAAGTGTAGTGTTCAGTATAAGCCAGTGACACATTCCTCATCATAAGTATTCCTTCACTTTGGTATTTCTACTTTTACCTAAGTACATTATCTGCGTACTTCCCCCACCTCAGCTAACCTCCATCTCTTAAAGTTAACCAGGTATGTTGGGTATCGTTAGCTAACTTTACTCAGCAGACAAATGAACCTAACTCGGATTAAAATGATGAAAATAAGCTCAAGTAACATTTTGTTTTAACATTTTTAAAGGAACATATCCTTTTATGAAACTATCTGTCAACTGTCAGATAAATACAACCACAACAAAAATACATTACAATTTGAAGTAAATCTACTTAGTTACAAAAAAATGTAGTGGAGTAAAAGTACACGATTTACCTCTGAACTGTAGTGAAGTAGAAGGACAAAGTAGCATAAACTGGAAATACTCATGTAAAGTACAAGTACCTCAAAAAGACATTACAATTTAAAGTAAATCTACTTTTACAACACTGTTCTTAATTAGCTAGCTAAATAACCCTTTAGCTCACTTTGTAGTGCAGGCGCAGACCTTTTCCAACACACATGGAAGATACTAACCACCCTCACAGCTTGCACGTAGCCTTTTGTGTTTTCTTTTTAACTAATAAAGCAAGATACAAGCCATGCAATTGTGAGGGAAGCTACGAGCCGTTGGGCTAACTAGAGAGAGACACACAGGCTAGCTTTAGCTCACAAGCTAACAACCGTTACCAGTGAAGGCTATTAAGATAACGCTCTTTTCTTACCTGTGACCACCTCCAGACCCAGAAGACGCCCCGGGAATGTCGTCACCTTTGTACCGGAGAACCAGAGCAGTGTGTAATGGTTTTAATTCCTCAGAAAGAGTCGGTAGAGACGCTCACAGTCCGGTCTCTTCAGCAGCCGCCGCTGAATGGCTGCTGCGCGAGGAGCCGCAACCAAACCTCCTCCTTAGCAACGGACCGCCTCCGAGAGAGCTGATTGGCTGAAAGTGGACCGAGCGGAAGTGTTCGATGGAGGACAGAGCAGCAACCTGTAACATGCTGATTTTAAATGATGAAAATTAGGAATACATTTTATTAAAACAGGGGTTTATTTGAGCGTGTTTTAAGACATTACACTTGATTATGAAAGCACATTTTTTTGGAGGAAAATATCTTATTTTAATAAAAATGTTGAGACTTAGCACTTCGAATTTTGACTGAATTTGCTAAAATAAAGATATCAAAAATCATGAATCCTAGTTTAAAAATAATAATACATGTTCTCAATGTTTTTATTAAATCCCAATATATTGACTGTGGATCTTCATATTGACTGAGTATGTTAAAAAACAAACACCTAGAGAAAAAAAAACACCTACAATAATAATGACACTTTTTTTCGACTAAATGAAATGTAATTTAAATACGTTTTACTTATTTACAGTACTAGCTCATATTTGAAACATCCCACCACGGGATCTGGATAATAGATAAGTAATAGATCAAATAGCAGAACGTAGTTATAAGTCATGCATTCAACATTTTAGTAAGTATTGTTCACCTAAATGTGGTTGATGTATCAAAGGTAAAGTATGCTGTGCTGAGACATGCACTCCATTTGTACAGTAAAAAGCATATAACTTTTGTACCTTTGAAAACAACTAAAACAATTAAATTAGGGGTATAAAAAACACGTTTCCCTCGGAAGTGAAGTATAATGTTATGTTCAGTTTGTGAGTACATTTTATTTACATGTGTCACCTGACATGTTCCTCATTATATTCTCTATTTGGTTGATATGTAAATATACTCCAGTCAGTGAAGGAGCTCCTAAAACCTTTGATGGACCATTTGAATAATTACACCACAGTTTTAAATGCACTTCCTGTCTATTTAACATTATATTTGTCTTCTCTTTATCTGTGGACGTGTGATACTGAGTGACACTCACTGTGCTGTACACAACAGTTGAATATAAAACATGTGACTCATAGATATCACCATGAAACTTCCCAAGTTGACAACCGAAATTATGACAATTTTGTTGTGTGTTTCAAGGTTTCTGACATGAGGCATTATGTGATGTTAACTTTTGGTGAATTTTGAAGAAATCTGCATACACAAATTAACAAAGTTACTAAATAAACTTTTGTTTATGTGTTCCTTCCTGTAGTCTGAACGTAGACATGGTAAGCAAGCAAACTAACCCCAACATCTTTAAATTGCCCTTAATTTCTCCGGTTTCTGCCATGTTTCCCCCTCCCCCTCTCCCTCCCCCTCCCCCTGATGATCCCCCCCCACCACCCCCACACGACACCCACCACCCACGTAATATTCGTACTTTTTTGTAATGTAAATGCGCTAATTAACGGAAATTATTATCCGAGAATCAATTTAATTGTACTAATTATATAACACGAACACACCAAAAAACGTATACTCATGTATTATGATCTATGAAATCAAGAAGACATGTAAAAATAAACTTACCTCCTGAACGCAGTCATAACGTGGTCTACACACGGACTCAAATGTGTGTCACTGGTGTTCCCCCGTCTGTATAGGAGCTGTCTAGTTGTTCTCCGGGACAAAATAGTGAGACTGGAAAGTTCCGACAAACATTTTGTTTCTGTTAAACTTCAACCGTCTAAAGTGTACTGTACCAGTGATACATCTGCGAATAATGGTTTCGCTGATTGTAAGAGTTGTGACAACCCGACTTAAAGGGGGTGTCGCTCGTTAAACCCCACTTCACGAGAGTCCTGTGTCTTGCTCGTACGACTGACGTCACGTCTGAGCTTGAACGATAGGAGACTAAGCTTCTAGCCGGCGGATTCGGGTGATTCGGAGTCGGGAGGTCTATTAATACTTTAATACTTTCCCCTCACCATCATTTCCTTCCTATCTTTGTCACACGTCGGAGAAAACAATTTATTTATGTCTTATAAGTCTGTGTGCGCAATTTTACTGTTAGTAAGTCTTATTGTCCGTAGCTGTTGAAATCACACAAGAAACAACCAAAACATTGGAAGGTCCGGGCGTTTTGAAACGTTCGAATCCGTCCGACGTCTTCGGATACACTCTTACTGGAATTACCCGCTATTTTGAGACCTT